AGAATTGTAGTTGAACAGTTAATTATGGAAAAATTTTAACATGTTGGTGGTGGATAGCCTGTGCACTCGGTTATGTGAGAGCCGAGTGTGGCGGTAACGCCCCAGTTTCTCTTTGAATTTTCCGCTGCAAGACTCTTATGTTTTCGAATAAATCATTATTTACTTTGAATAAATCATTATTTAAAACTATTTTTGGGTGGGAAATTTGGGGGTGTTACAAGTTGGTATCAGAGCCTTTCATTTTTTTAAATGGGGGTTTTCAAGCATTTTCTGAGATTTTCCTTTTCCTCAAGTGATACCAACAAATTGGTATGACTTACTGTTTTCGAAAGTGAATTTTTGAATAAAAGTTTTCATTCACTAACTTCGGTTTTCAAAAAAAAAAAAAAGAAGGAGTTCATAACATTTTGGTATGGAAGCCTATGATTTTCAAACTTCGAATTTTCAAATAAAACTTTCTTTATGTAACTATGATCTTCAAAAAGGCTTTACTTTTTAAAAGCGATTGAAATTTTTCCAAAAAGTTTTCTTAATGTTTTTCCTAAAAATATATATATATATATATATATATATATATATATATATATCAGTCTTCTAAATGTTCTTCAACAGAAAGAAATTTAGGGATAATAAGTCGTTTTAAGAAAGAATAAGCTAAAAAAAAAAAGTCTAGGATACGGGTGAGAATGTGAGATTTTGAATTTCTACTATGATGGAGTTTGCGGTTATTTGAATTATTTGAGTTATACTTATATGAGGTATATATTTATTGACTCATTTGAGAATGTGTTTGGACTTTTAGAGGAACTCACCAAATTATGTGAGTAGTGAGTTACTTCATATTAATTAATTAAGGTAGTATAAATGTGAATGTCATTGACATACTTCGTGTCCTAAACATTATTCTTTCAAGTAGACAATGAAGTCAACGAGAACCAAAGTAGAAGACAATGTCGCCGCACCGACGAATGCGGAGTTGGCTCAAAATATGGTTCAACTCATCCAGACTATCGGGAGTGTGTTACTTCAGAACCAACACCAACAACGTCTCAAAAACCGCAATGATATAGCGAAACTTGTAGCAAAGCGCAATCCACCGTGTTATTTAGGCCAAGAAGATCCTCTTATCCTTGAGGATTGGATTCGCACTTTCGATAAACTTTTCGACGCTATAAACTGCCCTGCAGATCAACGAATTAATACGGCTGCGTACTATCTACGTCAAGAGGCAGACAATTGGTGGGCCACGACTGCCCCAACGTTGCGTCAACAACCCGACTTTTCTTGGGAGACGTTCAAGGAGGCAATGCGAAAAAGATTCTACCCAGAGCACGTGAGAGCTGAGAAGTATGAAGAATTTTTACAGCTGAAGCAAATAGGCATGACTATCCAAGAGTATCACGCTAAATTCTTGAATCTCGCACGATTTGCACCCACGCTAGTTCCCGATGAAATCGAGAAAACTAACAAGTTTATACGTGGTCTAAACTTCGAGACACAAAAAACTCTTTGTGTTTCAGAATGCCAAACGTTGAACGATGCCTACAACAAAGCTGGCAAACACTATCGAGTGCAACAACTCCAGAAAAAAAAACACTAAATAGAGAAAGGAAGAGCACCGAAGAACAAAACAGACAGGGAGGCAAACGGCACAAGCTAGATAATGCAGGGGAGACCCGAAACGGGAACAAGATCAATAACCAAGGCCAAGGCCAGAAGCGTAAGAAGAAGAACTCAACTGAAGAGATGCACTTCTACTGCTCGAAGTGTAGAAAAGATCACCCTGGGAAATACTGTGATGGAACGCTCGTACGATGTTTTCATTGTGACAAGCTAGGGCATAGGGTGTTCGAGTGTTATTCAAGGAAGAAGGGAATTCCTCCAACTCGTGCACCCAATCGTCATCCAAAACGCAATGGAAGAACCTCAGAATAGTAGGCGAAAACATATCAATTCCTAATTTTCATAATTAGTAAAAATGTTTGAGAATTATGTATCATTTGATCTTTGATGAATAAATTATTTTCTTGAATAAGTTAAATGCTTCGGGGACGAAGCATTCTTTTAAGGAGGGTAGAATGTGACACTCCATAAATTTGAAGAATTTAATATTAACTAACATGTGATACCTACTAATTGTATTGTGGATATTTTCTTAACTTATGCTTCGGGACGAAGCATCTTTTAAGGAGGGTAGATTGTGACACTCCGAAAAATTTAAATAAGATAAATAATTTTATTAGTCAGATAAAATGTTACGAAAGTGACATGTTAATAATTAAATGAATCAGATAAAATTTTAACATCAGTGACATTTTTAATCAAATAAAAATGTTTCAATAATAAAAGTGACATTTTAACAATTTGAATCAGTCAGTAATATGTTCACAAAAATACACTAAAATATAATACAAGAATAACAAATTTAAAAGAAGTAGCACACATGATACGAGTCATACAAATTGAAGTAGCATATACCCATAAAAATAAAAATAAAAATATACACATGTACTTACTATAAGACAAGTAGTCGGCCGTAATAATATGGGTAGCATAATACAATGAACCTTGTGGACTATACATGTTCACACGCCTCATCAAAGTAAATAACCAACAATCGCACATGCTAGATCGATCAGTAATTGGAAGAGGCCAAAATATGCAAATGACGAAGCAAACCAGCTACGTGTTCCTGTTCTGCACCATGAGTAAACCAGCGACCTGCTTATTCATATACGTAGCATATACAACTACATATTTACATATATGTGTATATATAAATTACTTCCCTGCGAAACCATATAACCAGAGAACCAGAGGACTTCCCACACCCACACTTTTCTATCTGAGTCATTAGTTATGGAGAAGTGGCAGTAAGGGGATCACCGTTGAAAGAACTGGTACCCAACATCGCGAGAGTGCCTTATCCTCGTCGCCGGAGTTACTACAGAACTGCGGGTCAATGCTGCGGCGCTAAACCCCATAGGAACGAAGGTCTAAGGGAGCCTGGGAAGCTGTAGCTAGACGCCACTGAAAGCCGGAGAAGTGGGAGGACTCGCCGGAGAAGAAACCCGGTGGTAGGCTGGTAGCGCCGGACTGGTTCACGCCGTTTAACGAAGAAGCCCAAACTGCTCTCACCACCAGCCACCGTGATCTTCTCTGTTTCCTGTTGTCAGAAGAAGACCTCGTCGCTGCAACTGTAGCATGGCCCTACCTCGCCGGTGTTGATCAAGGAAGCGTATGTTTTCTTCATTTTTCTTCCGTCGCTCTTTGATTTTTACACAGACATATTTTATAGGCTAGGCTTACATTAAACATTGCACCTTATAATTAATTAACTAATATCATTAAAAAGAAAAATAATAATAATAATAATATGGGCTGTTATTATTCTAGTCTGGGCCGATGGACTGATTTAGTGATAATTCTGGCTGGCCGAATACATATCAAAATAATAAGATTTAGTTATAACAGTAAGGATCATGAGCATTAAGCCAATTTAGTTATAATAATGTTACTCAATTGTTTAACAAAGTGGGAAATACGATAAAATAGCAAGAATAGAATGTAACACTAATTCTAGAATTTTAATATTCTAGAAAGTGAATTTGGAGAAGATCAAGCTAGGAGCTTCAATTAGGATTTATCCCGATTCGAGGTAAGTACTATGTCAACCAAATTTCATGCTTTTCCCATATAAATATATTTGTGACTAGTTATTTGAGATCATTTGAGTATATGATAGTTAATGAGATTTTACGTATCAATTGTGATTGTGAATTATATATATTTGAGATTTGAGTATTTTATATTGGGTGATATTTTGAGCATTTGAATTTACATATGAATTGTTATTTGATTGAGATCGATTTGAGATTTGAGCTACTTATGAAGTATCCTAAATTTTGGACTATTTATGGTATATTTGAGTATGATGAGTTGGAGTTAAAAATTTTATTGTGAATAATTTTGTGGAAATTCGGATTTTATATCCATTTTGGTTAAGGTTATGATACTTGAACTTTGAGGTTGAATTATGATTTTGTGAGTACCCGGAGAAATGTGGATTTGGTGAGTGGTAATGACTATAAGTCTAATTCCACCAGGGATCTCCCAAAAACGGAGCATCCCAGCTTAATTGTAGTAGTCGGTAGAAAAATCCCGACTACTCGGACTTTTTACTACCCGGAGAGCTTGGAATCTCTTTTAGGGGGTGTGCACACTTAAGGTAGGAGTTCGGCTTCCATTGGATTTGGTTGAGTTTGAATGATTGAACTTGAGATGATTTGGATTATTTGGTTGGACTTGATGGAGATGAATTGAACTACATTATATTGGATTATTTGAGTGGGTTATATTTGTTTGGATTGGATTGAATTTGATGTGGTTGAGATTATTAAATTATTTGTAGATTTTCAAAGTAATACTTATTAATTTGATTTGATATGGTTATGTTGAATATTGATTATGAGAATTTGGAAGTATTTTGAGATGAATATTTGGGCTTTACATATGATTTATGTTTTGGAATATAATTACGAGGATTTTGGTGGTTTATGTATATTAACCTTTTAGAATTATTATGATTTGGAATATTATTATTTTCCATGTGATTTTGTGATGAGAAGTTTGTATAAAATGTTTCATGAGGTTTCCTCCCAAATGTTTTCACAAAATGATATATATGTATCAAACATGATTATTTTACAGGGTTGGGTGGGCCTTACTTAGCATTTCCAGCTAATTTTTGTTTCTTCGTGTTTTTCTTTCTATACTTTATTTGTGCAGGAATTGAGCATCATATTGAAGTTGATTTCGAGAGCTTCCGCTAGAACACATAGACTAAAGTGATTGAGTAATTTATTTTAGTCTTAATCTTAAAGAATTGTAGTTGAACAGTTAATTATGGAAAAATTTTAACATGTTGGTGGTGGATAGCCTGTGCACTCGGTTATGTGAGAGCCGAGTGTGGCGGTAACGCCCCAGTTTCTCTTTGAATTTTCCGCTGCAAGACTCTTATGTTTTCGAATAAATCATTATTTACTTTGAATAAATCATTATTTAAAACTATTTTTGGGTGGGAAATTTGGGGGTGTTACAGCAGCTCACTCTCGTGTGCCCGACCTCTGTGCAATGATAGCACCTAGGAGGGTCGTGACACTTACCCGAGTGGTGTTTCTTGCAATTGTTGCACCTAGGTACCCTCGGACCCTTTGACCTCGAGTTCTGGCCACCCGAGCCCCGACTCCTTGCACGTTCACGTTGAAGCCAATTTATGACCATGCCCATTTGTTCAATGGGTGCATTATCAAGGTCCTCATCACTCAAACCATCTCCTTCGTCACCCGAAGCCTTGAGTGGTTCAGTTTTGCCATAACAATGTGATTTTTCCTTGGTCTTAAGATGACCACCACTCACGATTTGAGCTTCAAGAATTTCATGCACATTTGGTCCTAAGGGCTTTTCTCGGTTGGCATGCCCGGTTCCACCCGGTGCAAGCCCTTCCGAGTTCTCCCTATTCATAATACCACCATCACCCACCATCGCTGAAAGAAATAATTAGAATGAGTCATTAGACCCGTTTCAAATGTCAACTGACAGATAGGCACTTAAGACATCTCTTGGGCCAAGTCACCGTCATACCAATCGTTAAGGGCGCCATCTTAACAATTAGAGACCTTGCAACTCAAACACCAAAAGTTCTTAAGTACAAAACGTTTTTGCTCATGGTTTTCAAAAAAAAAACATTTTGAAAAGAGAATTTTGAGACTTCATTATGAAGTTTATGGACTAAGGCTCTGATACCAACTTAATTGTCACGCCCCGGACCTATCCGGACACGTCAACAACCCGCCGTACAATACGAATAGTCAACCGCAGTCCAACACATTCATATTATACAAGGCGTCTTGAATATCATTCACACATATACATCCATAAACAAACATAATAAGTAATTCATAACGCAGCGGGAACATTGTTTAAAACAAAAGGGCCATACAAGGCATTTCATGAGCACGCAGGCTCCATAGTAAAATATCCATGAGCATGTTTAGAAAGGTTTAAAAACAGAATGGAGGAAGCACGAACCAAGTCTTCCCACCTATATGATCTCTCGAGCAACGAGCACAGGAAGCAAGCTCTAGCCTCAACCTGAAAAATGGTGGTGGGACGCCCCCAAAGGGGTCAGCACTCTATAGGGCTATAAAGTGCTGGTGTGGCAGGCATCTAATAGATATACAACAAGTATTTCACACACAAGACCCTCAAATAGGGTGATAATATAGTATAGGCCGTAATCCCAGATTACCCCTTTCAAAATACATACTTACTTTATATAAAGTCAAGTAGTCGGCTCAAAGGCCCGTGTTTGTTATAAAACATTTCCCAAACCCCGTGACTAATAGTCACGACAATACATAGGGTCCAACCCTAATATAACTTCTCATTTCTAGAGTTAGGCTCGAGTACATCATCATGCACTCGCATCATAGATCTCCTACTTCATATAATCATATCATAGATCTCCTACTTCATGTATTCACCCCATAGATCTCCTACTTCATACAATCCCACCATAGATCTCCTACTTCATATAATCACACCATAGATCTCCTACTTCATATAATCACACCATAGATCTCCTACTTCATACAATCACACTTGACACTTGAATCTTATTCAAGTTCATCACAAACAACTCAAACCTTAAGTTTGATTCTATCAACATTTTGAACAATCCTTAACTAGCATCACAATACTATTAAGATTATTCCTACAACTCATTTATCATAAATGGTAGCCCCTCCATATCAATAGATATGTGGCAGCCTCCCATGTGCTAAGCATCATCATGAAATTATACATTTACATACACATAACATTCATACATGAGTTGGAAGGTCAATTTACCATATTAGCATACTTTTATTCACAAAAACATGATTCAAGCATTTAGGTAATCTCATGCATAACCTACAAGTTGTAAGCAACTAGATGTCGGTCCTCACCTCAAATGAGCTTTAAAACTTTCCTTCTCGATCCAATGACCAAAACCTCAGCCAAGGAAGATTGAGAACTGATTCCCTGCTTGGAATTGAGTGTTAAACAGCCCCTTCAAAGTGCTAGTTCAACTCCTAACCGAAGACACAAAAAAACAGCCCCTAGAACGGGTGTTTCCCGACGAGATCGTTCCGATCCCTAACATTTCAAGGTTTTGTCTAGATTAGTATCTAACCTTTCCAACAATTAAAGTCACTTAATAATAACATTTTATACACTCCAATCAGTGTATAATAGTTCTTCAATCATTTATATGATTTTGGCAATAGGGAGGAAGGTTTTGGATTCAAACTTACTTTGAATACAAAAACGTATTCTGCGAGGTCGTGTTTTGCTCGGTCGATTTGGAAGCCTTCCACTACTCCGATTGATGAAAACCAGACGTTCACGGATTCCTCGTCTTGAGAGCTTTCTGTGGGTATCTCGCACGCCTTATTTGGATGTGTATAACTCGAGATATGGAGCAAACAAGTAACCTTACGCACTGGAAAAACTACCTGCGGACAGCTTGCTCTCTCCTTGGTTCTTCTTGAATATGTGGCTCTCCCTTCTCTCTTATCTTGGGGAGTTCGAATGGGGGGTTTGTGGGAGTGTCTAAGACCTCTCAAAAGAGTTGGATAGGCTGTGTGGAATGGAAAAGAATGGATATGGGGCTTGCTTGGCATCATGTAGATCAATAACACATGGGGAGGGCCCTTGGTTTGTCTCAAAGTCAAGTGCAGCCCCCCTTTTCCCTTTATGTCCGCCCCATACCTCCCCAACTAACACATTTCTTTGTTTTGCAGGTGCTCAAGTCATGTGGGATGGTTCCCAATTGATCCCAATCCATTTGGGGTCCAAAATATCTACCAATACATCCAAAAAAATGGAAGATTGGTCCTATTGTTTTATCTTTTGTCAAAGATGTCTTTTTGTACTCATCCTAATTTATTTAGAACAAGTCAACTTATTAAATCACATTATTGATCTCCAATATGTGTAGGCTCATCCCAATAATTTACTTGATGGATATTTTAGAAGGAAAATCCTACTCCCATTATTTAGCTCAATAATGCCAAAGATGGGGTTATAGGCATTTGTATTCTCCTTTAATCATCCTATCGCTTACTTTGACATTTGTCATTCATATTATTGGGCTTACAATCCGTGTGGGTCGCCCCCAAGCGGGCCTACGACGCCGTCCTCAAATACTTGCTATTTTAGCGGGTTGAGCCCAGAATAATGTATGGACTGCCCGCCCTACCTCAACTTGTCTTGAAACGTTACGTATAACTATTTAGATAATGTTAGGATCTTTTATTTATTAATAAGGCCCAAGCGAGTATCCGCAAGCCCAACACTAATGTACGAGTTCGAGCGGTATCATAATCGATCATGATTTACGTAAAACAACAATCGTTTTACAATTGTTTGAAATCAGAAATCCAATACATAAACTTTGAATTTTAAATTAAATTTTCAAGGAACTTCGGGTGCGGTGTCACATACCATGTCTGGTAGACCATCTACAATGTGATCTCTTGCCAGTTTATTGATTGTTTTGAAATTCAGGTGACTAAGCTTCTTGTGTCATTCCCAGCTTAGCTTTGAATCTCCTTTGGCTATCAGGCATGTGCCATCCTGTGCTGATTGCCAGTCAACAACATAGATGTTCTTCCTTCTTTTTGCTGTAAGAACTACTTCTTTTGTTGTCTCATGTTTGACATAGCATAGGGCTTTTGTGAATTCAATTGTGTAGCCTTTGTCACAGAACTGGCTAGCACTTAGCAGATTGAACTTCATGCCTTCTACATAAGAGACATCATCAATTCTTATCTGGTTCTTGATCCGGTTTCCTTTTTCTTTTGTTTGACCTTCCCTTTCATTTCCTCCAAAAGTGACTCGGGGTCCATTTATTTTCTGGAACCCTGTTAGGCAACTCTTGTCACCTGTCATGTGCCTGGAGCATCCACTATCAATAAACCATTCTTGTTCTGAGATAGCTCCAGCACATAGTTCCTACGAAATCAAAAGGAAGATTTAGGTACCCAAGCTATGTTGGGTCCTGGGGGTAATGGAGTCTTGGTAGTTGGTACCACTTTGGTCTCATCAAGTGAAACCTTGGTGGATGGTACCCATTATCCACCTGGTAGTCATGGTAAACAGCAATATGATTCACTTTGGGCAGATGCTTGTGAGGTTCATGCTTTCTGTTAGCATATTTCTGCATAGCCTTCTTTGTTGGAAAGAAGTCCCATATACTATCAAGAACAGAGGAGCGGTTAGCCTTGGGCTTCTGAGGTTGACCAGACAACCTCTTCTGCCTATAGTTAACTTTCTCTTGATATCTGCCTTTCTGGTAGCAGTTTCTGGCACAGTTGTCATGAGGGTGTCTGTTGTAGTTTTGTCTTTGATTATTATTTTTCTTAAAACCTTTTCTATTGTTAGGTCTTCTGCCAGGTTCATTTATTTTCAAAACCTGTTTTTGTTTGGCCTTTAACTTTTGGTTTTCTGGTCTGACTTTCTCATGAGTAAGTTTAGTACCAGAAGTACTAGCATGACAGATGGGGCTCAAGGTCTGTGATACTATGACTTTATTAGCCTTAGCAACTTGGGTGCTAGGCCTTACAGAAGGCTCACCAGACTTTGATTCAACATATCCGAGACCATGGGTAAGGTTATGAAAATCATCAATACCCTTTATGAAAGATTGCATCTTCAAAAGGCTATCATATCTGATTTCAAGGTCCTCAATTTCTCTTATTCTCTTTAGAAGAGACTCATTTTCAGCTTCCAGTTTGTCTCTTTCCTTAATTAAGAGATTAATTTTGCACTCAGTCTCTTTTCTTAAGTCAAAGATCTCAAGCCTTAGCTTACTGTTCTCTTCTATAACAGAAGAATAAGTAGCTTGGATAGTTTTGAACTCTTCCCAAAATGATGACATTGGATCATCATTTAAGGTTGTGCCTACCGAAGAAGAAACAGAGTCAGCAGTAGAGTATACCTCATCATCAGATTGTGCCATGAGGCATAGGTCTTCTGTGTCAGCATCAAGACAACAGAAGGCCTCATCTGACTCTGAATCAGAACTGGATTCTGTTTTAGAAAGGGGATCTTTCTCAGTTTGCTCACTGATCAATGCCTTCCTTCTCCTGACATGATCTTCATACTTCTTCTCTCCATCTTGTCCTTGTCTTTTGGACACTCTGTGATGTGGGCAGTTGGCTTTGAATTGACCTGGTTGTCTGCAGTTGTAGCAGAGGAGCTCTCCACTGCTTTCAGAAGACTTGGTCTTCTGGAAGGATCTCCTGCTAGAAGATGGACTTCTCCCATCTTTCTGCATGAACTTCCTAAATTTCCTAGCAAAAGCAGCCATGTATTCGTCAGATAATAAAGTAGAAGGGTCAAAGTCCTTTACCTTAGAAGTATTGGCTGTGAGAGCTGCAGTTGTTCTTTCATCTGGCACATCCTCCCTATCATCATGCATCTCAAACTCATAGGCTTTGAGATCTGAGATCAGCTTCTCTGTAGGGTAGGTTTTGATATCCTTGTTTTCTTGAATAGTAATGACCTTCATCTTCCAGACTGGAGGCAGTCCTCTGAGAATCTTCAAGTTGACTTCCTTGACTGTGAGCTCCTTCCCAAGCTCAGAGATTTCACTTGTGAGAATCAGAAGTCTTGCGTGCATCTCTGCAATGCATTCATCAGGTAGAAGCTTGAAGTCATCAAACTTCTTCAGAGCTATGGTTAGCATGTTGTCTCTCTCCTGCTCATCTCCAGCACCTATGAGATCAAGTTTGTCCCATATTTCCTTAGCAGTCTGACACTTCTTGATCCTGTTGAAGTATCTATTGTCAATGGCCTTGTAAAGGATGTCCTTGGCTATGTTATCAAGGTTGTACTGTCTCCTTTCTTCTTTGGTCCATTCTGATTTGGCCTTTTCAATCATTTCTGGTTGTGTTTTGTCAGCAGCATATGCAGTGTTCACTTTCATGAACTTGGTGAAGGGTCCTTCTTGAATGACTTCCCACATTTCATCATGAAGAGCACAAAGGTGTGCCTTCATCCGGATTTTCCAGTCATCATACTTTTGATCTGAAAACATAAGATGCTTTGCAAGAGAGTTATCCATAATAAGAGTTAAAAACGCTAAAACAAGTGGATCTTTGTTCAGGAAGTAACCTAAGAGCTTACAAGAACAAGGAGGATCTGATACAACTTGTTGGTCCCGTTTATACTGGGAATAGTCTAGAGGGGGGGTGAATAGACTGTTCTGGTTTTTCAAACTTTTCTTCTAAATCACTCTGACTTATCAGAGAAGGTCTGATTCTGGTGACAGAGGTGGTCGAGTTCTTATGCCAGAACTGGACCTGGCAGCGGATAAGAGTTCTGTCTGGGTAGCCTCAGGAAAACACTAAGGCAAATGCCTTTCTGATAACTCTTAGAACAAGATCTGCTGAGCACAGAGTCCAAGTTCTTGGGAGTTAAGCAGTTACGGTCTTAAGTGCAGAAATTAAGTGCGTAAAGTAAATGACACTAGGGTTTTTATAGTGGTTCAAGGAACAATGTGTTCCTCTAGTCCACTGTTCCACTAAGCTTGTAAGTCAACAATTACAACACCTTAGTCCCTAGAACTTAAGAAGCACTCCACGTCTTCTTCAAGCCTAGTTTTCACCCGGGATGCTCTTCCTGGCTTCCTGATGACTGGTCTGTTTCACTGAGTCTCTTGAAGTATCCCCACTTCACTACTCCTGTTAGTTTGAGACATCCTTCTTTGCAGAAGATGTTCTGTAGAAAAACAGAGTTTTTCTCCAACTTGCTTCGTTACAGTAGATTTGCAATGAGGTGTTTGAAGTGTTGAAGAACTGGTAGAACTTTGCTCTTGTTGGAAGAAAAGATAGGAGAATGATATCTTTCCAACGCAGGCTTTTCTTGTTGATGAATATGGAATTTGAATCTCAAGAAAGCTTTTTGTGAATGTTGAAGTTAAAGCAAAGGTTGTAGCAAAGTTGTCCAGTTGTTCTTCGAGTAGTATCTTTTATACTGAGGTTGTCTTCTCGTTGGAGGAGGAGACAATTGCATTGAATGCGCGTACTGTAGAGTTGACAGATTGGACCCACAAATTTGGTAGCTTGCTATTTTTGTATAATATTCTCCAGGAATCTCGGTCAATCATCTGCAATTACTCCACAACGTATCAGGCTCATTAAATGAGCATTAAATGCTTTCGTTTTACTTCACATGGAAAGTCGTCTAGCCGTTAGGGTATTTCCCGTTAGTTTCACGCCCGTTGAGAGTAGCTTCGAAATCTTCTAAGTGTCCATCCAAATCTGATGAGATTCTCTGATGGCGCTCTGAAGTTGGGTTCTGATGTAGCTCTGGTGTCGAACTCTGGTGCCTCTCTGAATAGCAACTCTGGTATCAGCTCTGAAGAGTAGCTCTGGTAGCTTTTCAGAAGAGCACCTCTGGTAGCAACTCTGATGAGAGAGTCCGAGAGGGTTTCTGACCAGTCGACTATGCTAATACTTACAAAGAAAATTCTAATACAAGATTTCTAAAAGGGGTAGTCTGAATTACTAAATAACCTAGCATCATCAAAATGTAAGTACATTTATTCCTTACACGTTGCTAGCTTGAGATCAGCCC